GAGTCATTTTGGGGAGAAACACTTAAGACTGTAACATATATTGTTAACAGAATTCTAACAAAAAGAACTACTAAAATTTCTTATGAGTTTTGGAATGGGAGAAACATAGTTTGAAACTTTTATACATTTGAAAACGTCCAATTAAGGCAAGGTCCTATAGGTCAAATGAAAAGAAACTGAATTCAAAAATAGTTAGTTATTTTTTTTATTAGATACTCTGAAAGATCCAAGAATTATAAATTTTATGATGCCATTACTAAATCAATTTTTGAGACTGAAATGCTCGATTTTTTGAGGATATCGAGTTTGGAGGAGGAAATACATTTAAGGATCTTGCCATTGAAAAAATATATATTAATATTCTCATAGGTGTCATTAATCTTGATCAGGATGTTATTCTTAACCTTGTTCATGATATAACAAATCAAGATAATGTCGAAAAATCTCTCATTTAAGAAACTATTATGGAAGAACGAATTATACTACCTCAAGAATCAGTGTCACTAAAAATATCTATTGAGAAAGAAGAAGTACAGTGCTAGATGATTACATCGTATTTTTTCAAGAATATTAGGATAACACTAGAATGATGGAAAGTGATCCAATCAACTTTCGTCATGCTTTCGAAAGTTTAAATTCTCAAAAGTGAATCGATATATGAATGAAGAGATTAAATCCATGAAAAACAATGATGTATGAGATTTTATTCCATTGATAGAAGGAGCGAAACTCATTGGTTGTAAAGAAATATTTAAAATCAAAAGGGATTCGAGACATTATCTGAAAAAGTACAAAACTCACCTTGTCATTAAGGACTTTACATAGAACGAAGGCATTGACTATAAAGAAACCTTTCTCTTTGGTTTCTTAGAAGAACTCTTTTAGGATCATAATGACATTAGTAACACATTTCAATTTTGAGTTACACCAAATGGATATAAAGACAGCATTTTACAATGATAATATTGATAAGACGATCTATATGGTGCAACTAGAAAACTTTGTATCAAAAAATTCAAAAATATGGCTTACAAATTTAAAAGATTCGTCTATGGAATCAAACAAGCATCTCGATAATAGTATTTCGAGTTTCATCAAGTGATCCTCTCATTTGATTTTAAGATAAATTTAGTTGATGATTATATATACTATAAGTTTTGTTGGAACAAGTATATTTTTCTTGTGTTATATGTTGATGATATTTTACTTGTCACTAATGATATAGACTTATTGCATAAAATTAAGAAATTTCCAGTTAAAAATTTTGATATGAAAGATTTTGGTGACACATCTTTTGTACTAGACATATAAATACATCGGGATTACTTTTGGAGTATTATTGGATTATCACAAAAAGGTTATATCAAAAAAGTTTTTTAAAAATATGACATGCAAAATTGTAAATCAAATGACACCGTTGTATATCAAAAAAGAAACAAGTTTAGTCTCGATTAATGTTTCATGAATACTTTTGAGAAAAAGAAAATGCAAAAGATTCCTTATGCATCAGTAGTAAGGAGTCTAATGTATATTTAAATTTATACGTGTTCGGATATTACTTACGTTACTAGGATATTGAATAGATATTTAAGTAATCTAGCATTAGATCATTGCAAAGCAACCAAATGGGTCTTGCAATATTTACACAACTAAAAGATTACATGCTTACGTATCAAAGATTAGATAAATCCAAGATCATTAGGTATACTGATTTTGATTATGTTGGATATCAAGATAGTATGAAATCAAGATTAGACTAAATCTACTTATTGGCTAGGGGTGCCATATCTTATAAGAGTATTAAACAGTTTCTTATAACCTCTTCTACAATGACTATAGAATTCATAACTTGTTATGAGACATCCAATTATGGAATTGAATTACAAAATTTTGTAACAAAATTACGTCTAGTGGATAGTATCGAAAGATCAATCAAATTATTTTATGACTATAAGTCAGCAATTTAATATTATGAAAATAACAGGATCTTGACAAAATCAAAACATATTGATATCAAGTTCTTGGCTATTAAAGAAAAAGTACAAAGCAAATAGTTGTCTATATATAATATTAAAACAAATTTTATGGTTACAAATCTGCTTACTGAGAGATTGCCACTCAAAGTATTCTATAAGCATATTGTTTATATGGGTATCAAGTTATTAAATGATGTTTAATTTTAGTGAAAGTTTGTTATCCTAAATGTTCTTATAACATTGATTTTTTTTTGGTTGTTAATATTTTAAGGATATCTTATGCATAAATAAAGTTTAAATTTATTTGCACTCCGATTTTAGTATGATTTGATCCCACAAAAGGTTTCAAGTGGACTAGTTAAATAGAGGCATGTTAAGATCATATTGTATGAAATTTTCTTACTATGCATCCACATTATAATTCATGTTATTCAATTGTATCAACATATGCGACCATTGATAGGTAGAGCTACGAAATAGTAATAAAAATCACTTTGATCCTATGTTTGGGTCATTAACGAATTGAATTGGTTGTAGATATATTTTCATAATGACAGTGAAGTTGAGTTCACATGGTTAATTGTAAAGTATAATTATAAAATTATATATATAGTTCAAATGACAGATTGTTGAATCCGTAATTTTAGTACTACACAATTACTATCTCTTGATATCTCATCATCAAGGGTGATACCAAAGAAACTAAAGGACTCTCTCAAAAGAACAACTAATGTGTGTTGATCTGGCAGGCCATCCGAAGACTCTAAAGATTCAAGTACCACTCAATCAACATAAATTTAGGTACGCTTAGGGGTGCAAACGAACCAAGCAGTTCGCAAGTTGCTCGCTAGCCAATCAGTCAAACGATCGACTTGACTTGGCATTGACCGAGTTCGAGTTAAACTTGAGATGTTCGTTTAGCTAAACGAGTCGAGTATCGATCACTTTTAGTTAATCTCGATAGCTCACAAGCATTGTCGAGCAGTACGTATTATATATATATATATAAATATATTTATAATATATATATGTATATATATATGTGTGTGTGTATATAAGGGTATAGTAAATTACATATATAGGTACTAAGTTCTTGCAAATTTCCAAAATACCTCGTTTTCTAATCGAGCTCGATTAGGTTCGAATCGAACTTGATTTATAGAATTTCAACTCAATGGAGTCGAGTTCGATCTTGAACAATGCTATAGCAGGTCGAGCACGAACTCTAGCATAGCACTGTTTGGGATCGATTCAACTAGTTTGCATCCCTAGGTATGCATTTCACAATTTTGTTGTTGATTTATTTCTCAGTAATCACCATAAAGATTATAGGTTTAATAGGTGATGGCTTTCACTTAAGGTTAATATAAACAACCACTAACAATCATTGGATGTAATTTGATTGCAACTTTATTCATATTTTATGATAAAAAAATAGAGTAGAAAATTTAGAGTCTTGGATTTCTCATTTGATCCTTTGATTTGTGTTTGCATGGTGATTTTAATTTGATTTGAAGTTTGGGACTTGGTTGAAATGATTTGAGAACTTGATTGATGCCAAATTCAAGTTGTAAAATTTGTTGAAATAACTTTCCAACAAATTAGGGTGGAAAATCTACAAAACCCATTAGGAAAAATGATGGAATCTGATAGAATTCGGTCAAAATTCAGACAAAAAATTGACCAGGGACTAGAAGCGAGCATTTTACATTGTTAAGGACTAAAATTGTTCATTTTGATTTTGAGGGACAAAAATTTCGTATTATTAATATGTGAGGGTCGATTGGTGCAATTTTTCCTTTAACGAACTTGGAATTGTGTTTAATTTTGATTTATTTATTTATCGAATCGGATTCAACCAAATATTTAGAGCCGAGTTTGAGTCAAGCTCAAGTAGCTTGTATAGTTTACTTATAAACTTGAATTTGAGAAAATCATACAAATAGTCCCACATATTGACTTTGCACCTTTTACGTCCCTGGCATACAAAATGATGATTTTTTTGTCCCTTACATATTGACTGTGTACTTTTTACGTCCCTCACATATGAAATAATGATTTTTCGTCCCTCACAAATGAAAAATGTATACTTTTAGTCCCTTGGTTCATTTTTAAAAATATTCTTGTCTAAAATAAATCATATGCATCTCATGCCTTACAAACTTTAGGGGCAAAATCAGAAGATCATAGGAAAAAAAAATGCCCTTCACACTTCTTTTTACTTTGTCTTATTTTTATAGTCGAGAATATGACACCTGTCATAGTTCCTTCGCTCTTGTGCTTGTGGTGTAGTCATTGGCTACCTTCACTTTTCATCACAATAATTCACCAAAATTTAACTCTCTACTCAATTTTTCACGTAAAATATGATTTTAATATTAGTTTTATAAAAAATAAATGAATGTGGGTAAAAAATATAAAAAAAAAACACTGGTGAATAGAATTTGATTTCGATATTAGTTTCTTTTTTTTCTAAAATCATACAATTAATAGAAAAAGCACTAACATTTTTTTTCGATATTAGTTATGTTAGATTCTATCTGCCAATCTTTTTTTATTCTTTTTTTTTGAAAATTTAATATTAAAATTAGATTCTACGCAAAAAAACCTGAGTGAAGAGTTGAATTTTAGTGAAATTTTGTGATAAACAGTAGTTGTGGCTGGTGGTAACACCAATAGCATGTAGCCAAAAGCAGTTGATGCCACATTCTTGGCTAGGAAAATAAGTTGAAGAATAGATGTGAGGGACATTTTTCTCTTTTTCCTTTGATTTTTTGACTTTGCTCCTAAAGACGTGCATTACAATACTTAAAAGATTCTCCTTGTGACGCCCCCACTTCTCTCTAAGGCGAACAAAAGGGTATCGGCGGGACGCCTGCCCAACTCTCGCCAGGACTCAGTACAATTCCAGTTCAAATTTAAAGGATAACGACTAATAATGAAAGTCGAAATAAAGACAAGAAGTCATTTCCATACATGAATATTCAATCTTACCTCATAAGTTTCAAAGTACATCCACATTTCCAAAATATACAACTTCCAAAAGATATCTAGTCAAATACATTCAAAACCCTAATCAAAAGTGCCTCAAGTCGGCTTCTCCATAACTCTTTCCAATTCGGCCCCTGTTAAGGAAAACAAATCTAATGGGATGAGCTAACGCTCAGTGAGGCCAAGAAAACATGCAAACACATAGTTCAAGTAGCAATAGCATTTAAGCGAGAAATAAAGCTGTGACATTTAAGCAAATTCACAATTTTCAATTAAACACATTCAATGAGGATACAGGAGCTCTCAGGAGTTAGTTTCCACTTGCTACGCCAAGATTCGTTCAAATATCTCCCCGCGATGATACTCCATCAACCGGGTCGGCATTAGGTCCATAGAACTCCACTTTCTTCACAGTTCCGTCCACCATTACAACCGCCCCGGGCCCATACTTCTATAAAAGGCACTACTACTCGAGTAGGCCAAGCGAGATCTCTTAATAAATCAAGAATACAGTTATCTCATGGTTCACCGAGCTTCTCGACCAAGCCCTTGCTGGCTCGAGTCGCAAGGCCGGTCAATTGAGATTTGGGCATCCCCCAATTCAGTTATAGGTCGAGGAGATTCACTCCAACGACATTCAGTCATCCAAACAGAATTTAGTTAGGAGCAGTTCAATTGTACCATCGGTTATGAGCAGTTCAGTTGTACCATCAGTTAAAAGAGAACAAGTGTGATAACGTACACACTCGACTCAACAGTTATAAACCATTCAATCCATAAGAAGCAATTCACATAATTACAACAAATCATGCACTTGAAACTCACCAAATCACAATAAGGGAGTAAGTGCAAAAGATCTTTAATGGTCGGCTTCGGGATTCTCTTCAAGATCCTCTTGAGCGCCTGGAAACATAACAATTAACTATTACCCATAAATACTTACAAACTCCTTGCCAAACAAGGAAGAATGTACGTTCGTTTTCCAATTAAAACAATGTCTCAAAAAACCTCAATATCTCGAAAATCGAGATTCAAAAGTGAGGGTTTAATAACACAAGAGAAACTGATTTCCTTCATGAAATCGAGTTTAAAACAATCAATTAATATCAAAGATTAGTGAAAAGTTTCCCAAAACTCATTTCCCATCAAGTCAGAAAATTTCAGTTTTACGCGTCAAATTTAGAAAAAATCAGAACTTGCACTCAGTAGGTCCAAAATTGGAAAACTTTACACCATTGGAATCTTGGTTCAAAGTACTAAAAGTTCTTAGAGGACATTTTTCCAAGATTCTAAATGGAAGGCATTCAATTTTTAACTCAAAGTGGCTGATCTGAACAAGCAAGGCAGTTTCAATCATGTTTTTCGGCAATCTTTGAAAATTCGGCAAAATTCACAAAAAATGAACTAACCTTTGAAATTTGTAACACAATATGAGTTCCAAAAAAAGTTTCAAACAGGACAAATGGAACTAAATTTGGAGTTTTGAGCGTAAAGATATAGCAGCTTAAAGTCGGTAACTTTCACCACTGGAACAAAGAGTTAGGTTCGATCAAAGGTACACTGTTCAGACAACCTAAACATGTTTTCCAAATTTCTTCCAATTTCGAAATTTCAAGTTTTGCGCAACCAAATCAAATGGTTTTTGGTAAAAACTTTCTACACACAATATCCAACATATACCTACCAATTTCACAGCCAAACAACCAACAAAAATTCGAAAGGCATGCATGAAATTCACTGGACAGATTCGGCCAATTTCATACACCAACTTCCTTTGGTTTTTTTTTTCTTCACTCTCTAACCATATACATCTCATACAACACATAACCAATATTAAACAAGCATTTAATCCTCAAGGCAGCTACCTAGAAGTCTCCTCAAGGCCGCTATCTTAGACATTAAAACAAGATAAAGTGAGTTCCTCAAATCCTTTACCTAGTTTCATGCTTAGGGTTCAAACCCTTGCAAATCCAACCGTAAATCTTGAAGGAAATGGAAAGGTTGAAGAGTTGATGGGTTTACCTCTTGAACCCTTGAAGAACCAGAAATTTCCACCACTAAAGCTCCAAGAAATCCCCCAAGACGAAGTCTTCCTCCAAGCTCAAGTTAATTTCCAAGTAGTAAGTGAGTTGGATGGTGTTTTGTGAAGGAAATGGAAGCTAAATGGTGCAAGATGAAGTGGAGCTCTTCTTCCTCTTTTTCCTTGCTGTTTCGGCCGAGCTATGGAGAGGAGAGAGAGAGGGTTTTGTGTTGTGAAGCTTCCTTTGGAAGCTTAAGGGATTTGTGGCAAAAAATCTAACAAAAGTCAACTAGGAATAGTGTCGTGCGCGGGTGTCGTACCACCGTTTTCTCTCTTGTTTGTTTCACTTGTGCACTAATCCTCAAATGTAATTCCTTTAACAATATAATTATTCACTCTTAGTAATCTAGTATAAGTTTCTTAAATCTCCACTTAACCGTTTTGACACGAACTTTCGATTCGCGCGCGATAAGGCGCAATTTAGGAGTAATTCATGTAACGATAATACAATTAACTAATAGTAGGGTAAATAATTATAAAAATAATTATTTTAAAAATAAAACATGAATCCTCACAAGTATTAATTCCTCAAATCTCCAATTAGTTTGTACTGGCACGACTTTTGGGAAACTATCGACGCGCGCGCGGTAAAAGCTTAGCTTAAACTCACTCACCTCTAATCCCTCCATTAACTTTTCTTAGCCTACTATTGATCATTCTTAATTCTCCATGATTATTGCACTCTTGGATCGAATATCGCTTCGAAAAACGTGTATTCGCTATTCCTTACTAGACGAGCCGCAGAAAATTAAATTTGCTAACGGGACGTTTTAAAAATATAAGTGAGGCATTGGTTCATGTAAATGGATATAAAATGGTTGAAATAAATTATTCGGAGAAAACAGGTGAATAAATAATTAAACAAGCCAGTAAAATAAGATAAAATAAGAAAATTTTTTAGTCCTCACACTCCTCTCTAGAACTCTTTTAGTCAAAATCTCCTTTATCTCTCCATAGGAGAAAGAACAAACTGGTCTTTCTCCATTGGAGGGAGCCCTCTCTCTAGTTTTTAGTTTTTTTTGTGTGAATAAATTCATTCTTAAAGTTTCCTAATGGGAGATTCTTCTCTTCTAAGATCTATGAGTGAGAGTTTTATTTTCTCATAAATTCTTCTAGTGAGAATTTATTTTCTCTCCTAGTTTTTTCATTGTGAGAATTTTTTATTTTTATTTTTTTTGTGAAATTTGAGATTTTGTAAATCCAAGATCTAGTTTTTCAGATCTACAATTTCTCCATTATTGTTAGATCTATTTTTTTGGATTTGAACCAATTTTAATCAGATCTGACTGTCAGAAAACATGCACAGATGCATTGAGTTACAATAATTTATCTGGATAGAAGATATGTAGGAGTATCAATGTTATTTATTTGTGTTGATTTCTTAAATTTATTATATCTATTGATTTCAGATCTATATATATTTGTGTCATGTTTGTTTGATGTATTTTCTGTCATTTGTACAAATTTATTAAATGAAATGATCTTTTCTATCAAAAAAATATTTAAAAGATTAATGTCACTAGTAGTTATAGAAATTATTCCAATACAACACATAGTGCTGATCTCTATTTTGATGCCTAATAATAGATTTATATGAATACCACACTATTTTTTATATGAAAAAAAGGACAATCAATGTCAAAATCTTAAATTTATAGACAAGTAACTTGAATATAGATATATTATTGTCAAACATAATAAGAAGGTTTCAAGCTCAAACTTAGCTGCAACATTGATTGTGATTCAAATTTAAGTAATTTGTAGGATCACAATATGAGTGTATAATCATATGATATCATAACAGTAATACAATCTGAAAATTGATCTAATTATCTTACAAAGTTTTTAAGGAATTAAATCCTGTGTCAGACCCCACAATTGGATAATCTAGTCTTATTTATAAAGGAGGATTTCTTGGCATGATAAAGCACTCAATAAATGCAGTTCATCCCACTAGCATAATTATAGTTATATAAGACATGATAGGGTTTGGGAACATATGTGCCCAAGTGTGACTAGTTTATGTAGACTAAATGCCATAAAATTTTAGGTATTTAAAATACTTAGAAAATTAGAATAAAAAATCTCAGTAATTGTTCTCTATGATTAAATTAGGCTAAGTCTAATTTTGTTTAGAATTTTTCTAATCATACAATCCTACTAACTTAGACTCTTAAAATTAAACCCTGGTTTGAAAACTCGAAATTTGTTGTTCAGGGGGAAAGCTGACTTTTTACCCATTAAGAATTTGGCCCTTAAAACTATTTTTATTGAATCCAAATAGGGTACTTCCTTATTTACATGTAATATCATTTAGGTAAATGCCATTTACTTAAATGATATTACACGGAAATAAGTCCTGAATGCTGATAATCTGAAGTCTGAATACAGTTTATTCAAACCTCAAATACCCAAAGACAATTAGTTAAAACATTTTACCACATCTCCAGACACTTGTCTTTCATCTACCACGTGTCAGGTCATGTGACTCTTCTCTGCCACATGTCATCTTGTGATGACACTTGTCAACCAGCACAACACGTGTGACATACTGAGGTGAAACGTGTTATCACCTTCATCTTCCGGCGTTGACTCATCTTTTTCATGAACAAATATAAATAGCCCTCTTCTCATTTGTACATCAAAATTTAGGAGCACTTACCTATACTCAGAGAGGGTAAGAAAGTAATCTCAGATAAAAAGGATAGAGTGTCCTAAAAGATATGAAAAGAAGGTCATAATAAGAAAATAGTGTTAGAAAAAGGTCAACCTTACCTAACAATAAAAATATCTAAATGAGTGCCTATTCAAATTCATGTAGATATATACTGTGTCCATATAAATATTATAATGGCCAAATATTGTTATATTATAACTGTATAGTTTTAGATCTACTCTCCATACAGTAATTATGTTAAAACCAAACCAAGTGAAATTTAAGATTACTACTCTTATGTGTCTAAATACTTCCATAACCCATGCTCTTATTTTGTTTAAGTGAAAAATGACCATATATGATTAATGTACAATTATTATATCAAATACGTGATGATTATACTTGATCATTGAATCAGTTTACAAGTGATTTGAATCATTTGGCAGTTGTGATTTTATTGCATTAGAAAATGTTCATGAACTTGTCTTGCCAAAAAATGAAATCGTGATTGCATGTATTTGACTGTATCAGTTATGTACTTTATTGCACTAATACTACTGGTTATTTTAGTGTCGTGCCTTGATCCATCAAGCAAGTAAGAACTATGTTGAATGTCATTGCACACACTAATCCATAACCTAGTACTTGGACAGGAAGTTGTCTATTTATTAGGTTGGGAGTGAAAAGTACTTTTGGAACTGACCTATTGATTGAGAGTAAAAGGCTAAGCTCATGATGGTGGTATAAAGTGGAACTGGGCAATCACTAGCAATTATAATGTCGTATCCTTTATTGTGTTGTGATTTATTTATATATTTTTCCTTTGCTTATCGGGTATTATTTATATCAGGTCTATTATATAGTTAAAACTTAAACATATGGGCCTCACTGAACTGTGTTAATTCACCCCAATATTAACAGCTTTTGTAGATGCTGATTTGGATGTTGAGATGCCATAGGATGACTAGGAATCAGTAGATTAAGTTTTTGTTGAATCTCATGTAAAAAGACTAGGAGTGAAGAGTGTTTGGTTTGTTCTGCTGCTATGTGTTGTAACTTTTCCATTGTAAAATTTAATAAAAGAACTTATATTTCAACAAATAAACTATTGTGTTAGTCAAGTGAGCTTAACAAGAGTTAACCAGTACACTATTAGTGAAACCTTGCTAGGGGTGGATGTGATAATTAGTGGCGTCAGAACCTAGGTTTTTTTAAAAAATCAGATATAAAACATAGACTTCTTTCTTATGTTTTAGGAAAAATCAGATATAAACCTAGGTGTGATTAATGAACCGTAGACTTCTTTCTTACTAACGAAATAACAATGTAAATATTGTATCTACATCTTTATAGTGCTAACAATGTGAATAAAATAGATGATGTACTTTAGGACTTTGGGTACCTACTTGTATAAGTATGTTTTACTTGTTATGCAAAATATGATGTCCTGTATGAATCTTGTATTAATATATAGAATGTGACATTGTAAATACTAAATCTCTGTGCATATTTATTAAAATTTCTTTTATGTAAATAGGGTGGTCAGAACCAGAAATCAACAAAAATGGTCAAGAGAAAGGGTAAATAAAATTGGAGCTACTCTAGATAGAGTTAGCCAAATCATGGGACAACAAATGAATCATACGGCAAACCCACAAATGCACCCTAATTTGCCATCAAACAATGACCATGCTAATTGTCACGCCCCAAATCTGGGTCCCTGGACTGGATTTGCAACGTGGCACGCCGTATCTATGAGACCTTACTCCCATAAATACAAGGCATCATAACCATAACCTACAAAAATTCACTAAAATTTAAATCTTACATATACCAATGAGACACGTACACTTCAATAAATGATATCTACAAAATGCTTTATTCTAACTCCTCAGAATTTAAACATCTATCTATATACCTTTCTCACTTATCTTCTAAACATACACGAACTGACTTCCTTGATCTGCAAGAAAGATAAATGGACGTGGGTTGAGCGATGTATGCCCAGTAGGTAGTACTTACTCCCCTGTTGGATCATGTAGCTATATACATACTATATACATTTGCAAATTCAGTCACACCATACCACATGCATACAGTAATTACAAACATTTGTCATCTCATTTCATATATTACATAAACATATCTTATTGAAAGTGAGTGGCTTAAACATAAGTGGCCTCTGTCTGACATAGCACTTAGTCCCGTAGGTTCTAAAGGTGGCCCCCGCCGAACATAGTTTAGAAATACACATAATATGACATGATTGTACTCATTGAACATACTTGCAAATCATAAATTATATCAATCATGTCATCTCATTTCATAACATAGCTCATAAACAAGCACATACAATATCCGGCTTCTGAGTACTCAGCCTATAGATTAAACCCCTTCTAGGTGGGCGACCAATAGATTTCATGACTACCGATTGGTCTCATTACATATATGGGTCAATCGGCCGGACTTTATACCAGACTACCATGACCTTGTCAATCGGCCGGACTCTGTACCAG